TGTGAAAGGAAATCAACAGATTTATCCACATCTGCATGTAGAAATTAAGCAGTCCTGCTGTTTTTGTGCTCCTCAAAACAAAACTTTTTTTTTTATTTTTGGCTGCTCCCTTCTTCAGGGTTTGCCACAGCAAATGAACTTGTATGAAAGATATCACAATTGTTTTATTGATACAACCTGGACTCAAACCTGCAGCCTCAGGATTACCAGGCATAGACCACTGAGCTACCTCAGCCAGCCTTAGAACAAGTCCTGACGTTCTCATCTAATCAAAAACAAGACTTCCACTTGTTGATGGGAGCTCTGAACAGACGCACAGAGGAACGAAAGGAGGTGAGTTGTAGGAAATGTTTGTGATAAGGCCACGGAGGACACGGGCATGCTGAGGCTTCCTAAAGCTCTGACGATCTAACAGCACAGAAATGAATTTTTATGCTTCTTTCAAGGTGACAGGCTCCTCATTCTGGAGATGTGAGTGAACTATTTAATTTTATTTATTTTTGCTGGACTGGATTGTTGATGAAACACTTCTCAAATCTTATATTTCCCTCTGCTTCAGGCATGTGTCATGTTTGATTCAGTGATGTGTGAACAAGGAGAAGGTATGAAACACAGCAGGCAGCCTGTTGATGCTGCTGCCATGATATTCTGCAGGTTACAGGTTTATGCACTTTGGGCTTGTTACCACCAGAGGTCAGGCTGTTCATAAGGCTTCTTCTGTCCCCATCATTTGAATTGAACAGGATTCTTAGAGGAGACAAAGACAAGGATGTTCCAGAAAATGTACATTTAAAAAAAAAAAGTAAGTAAAATGGCTCCAACAAAGGCGTCTTTAAGTGTTTCCTGAGGTGTTCCCATTAGTGCAAAGAGTATTTCCTGAGCACCTTGATGGTTTTTCAGGGTTCAAACATCCTGAGGCTCAAATTTTAGGTTCTTCCTTTAGGCATTCCATTTTCTAAGGTTTCCTCTGAGGAGCACAGCGGATCTCCGAGGGGCCTCGATATTCTTGGAGGTTTTCTAGTGTTTCATCAGTATGAGCCTCGAGGAGGTTTCAGGAGCACACAGGGGACTATCGGCTGCTTAATAAAGCTTTTGGCTGTTTTTACTGTTGCCTTTAATTTCTTAGTGATCCCAAGGGGCAGATTTCCTCAGAAATTCCCACAGTTCCTGGATGTTGTATCTGTTGGCAAAAAGGGGGACACTCAATACCCCACTGATTTTAAGAAAATAAAAAGAAGTGTTTGATTCTTTATTGGGTTGTTGATGAGATCAAGCTGTCTGAGAAGCTCAAGCAGGTTTTGATTAATACAGTAACAATGGAGAGTGCAGGAATATTTATTCATTGCATATTTCTGTTTGTAATTATCAGAATGGCGAGAGCTGAGAAACAATAAAATCAAATAAAATAAAATCTGACCATTCTTTTTTTTTTGCAAAACATTTTCTTATCCCTCTTCTGTAAAAATGGCAATTGTTTCCAGACATTTTCTGCTTTAGCCAACAGTAAAGTTTGTTCTTAAAAAGCAAAATACAAAGTTAGACCAATCCCCCTTTTGAACAGAAAAATAAACCCATCAACAACTATTTTATTTTTTAAATAGTGACATCAGCGTTTATCGTTTGGCTAACTCTCAGCTCAGGCCTCCTGTATCAACCCAGATCTGCTTTATTCCCATCTTCCTTTGACCAGTTAGCAAGAAAACAGGCATTGAGTGGCATGGTCACCATGGCAACAGGATTTTCCCCACATCACGGCAGTTCTGTTGCCGTGGGTGACGTCACAACAGCCTCTGTTACACCACCAGGCTGATTCCAGAAGGAATCTGATCCAGACGGGGACAAAAATGGCCGACGAGGAAGCACTAATTGTTTAATTTTGGGTGTGAGGACATGAGTGTGTGTCGGTTCTGGTCCAAATCATCACTCGCATCGTGAGGATCTGCTTCTGTGTTTATATTCATACTATGGCTGCCTGTTTCCTATTAAAACAAACAAAAACACATATTTGACATAGTTCATTGGTTCTGATCAAGAGTTTACAACATATTTTTATATATCTTTATCTAGTAGTTAATGACACGTTTTTCTAGCAGATACAAACAGAGACAGCGAGTGATAAATATATGTGTACACACTTCTGTGAATTAAACATAAATAAATAAAAACCATCTGGTTTCACTCTGACTTTTCACATGAGCTTCATGTAAAGTAGATAAAAGTGCTGAGACAGAAGAAAACGTTTTTCTAATGATCTACTGTTAGTTTCTCCAACCTTCACACATTCTTGTCATCTGTCTGTCTTGAGGCTATTCATTTTTTTTCATTACATCCATAAACTTCTTTAATTATTATTCCTGAATAACATGACCACTCTCAGCCCAAGACCCCACCCCGTTGGTACATTTTACATTCTTCTCTGGCTCTGCAGATATAAATTATCTTCACTTTCAGCTCCTCAGTTCGTGAAGCCTTTTGTTAAGTGTCACCTCGAGAGGTGAGGAGACACTGGTTTCTTGCTTCTGCACTTTAATTAGCTGACACCTAATGGCAGCCATTGATTTTCCTCAAGGTAATTGTCATGACTGCATGAAGAGTTGACTCAGAGGAAATAATTAAACTTTTATCTAAACAAAAACAGAAAACGAACAGAAACAAAAAAAAAATCCAAGTGCCAAAACTAATAGAAGCGTGGCCAGACCAAAACAAAACACTTAGCGAGATGACAGCCGAAGCACACATCAGAAACAGAGACAGATGTAGCAGAGGACAAGTGAAGCCCAGGAGTATATTTACAGAGTGATGATGATGATGATGATGATGAGAGGCTCAGAGGTGAGCTCATTAATCAACAAGGACTGGCTGAAAGAAAAACAAGGAATCACACCTGAAACCAAAGATCTTAATTTCCTGTAACAATTCAGGTTGGACGCTAAAATTAGTTGAGCTGAAACTTGTAGTTTAAAGGCAAAAGAACCAGAATAAAAGCTTAAATTAGCTAAATATAATACCCCAGCTAAATGTTACAAATAGCCAAAGCAAAGCTAAAAGTTAAATTAAGGAAAAAACAAATATAAAGAATAGAGTTAGCAAAAATAGTAGCTAAAATATATAATTAGCAAAAGAAAAGCTACAATCAAAACAAAATGTAAAAGCGAATTCTGCAAGGAAAAAAATAGAATAATTTAGCAGCTAAAACCAACAAAACCGTTGCTAAAACTAAAGATGAGCAAAAGAGTAGCTAAATGTTGAAAATGAGCTGAATATTAGCTAAGAACTAAAAGGCTGAAAGTCACTATTGGATGCTTGTGATCTGGTCTAATTCTGTTCTTACCATCGCTGCATGGGCTCAGGGATACTTCTATAAATCATTGTCTATAAAGAGCAGTTAACTGCGTTCTTCTCTAATGCTGATTAAAGCTCTATTGTGCA